ATTTGACGCTGGTATTCTGTGAGAGCATGGTCCTTCCCCGGTCGAGCCGACCTATTCGTGCTACAACTATACTACTAATATAACTGCAGGATGGCTCTACCACGTACAATTTTTTTTTAAATTTGACAATTTCTTGGGTTGGGATGGTATATTTTCTAATAATACAACACGTTTCCGTATTCAATGATTACCGTGCTCTGTCCCTTCTTTGAACTGAAAGAAAATTTTTAAATAATTTCGACTACACAATGAAAATTTTGCATATTTATAAAAAGTGTTGATGACAAAAGTTTTCTAGTTCTCTTTCTCTTAGGTTGAACTTTGATAAAATACTGCCATTATTATCCTGCTAGTAATTTCCGCTGTGGAATACTGCCAGATAATTGGGTATAGTTCAAATAAAATAAATATTTATTACTAGTTTTATTACTAGTACATTTCAAAGAACACATTAAGTAATTATTTTCCTAATCGATTACCGTGCAGCATAATCGTTTTCAATGCGTTGCATTATACGTTAAGCAATTCAAGTATAAATTAACCCCGCCTTTTAGATCATAATGTGTAACTAACAACCTCGTTGATATAGATGTCGTAAACGCGATTGCTGATTATGAGATCCTGGATTCGAATCCTGGGTCGATCCCCGAGAAAATCAATTATTGGGTTTTTATATGAGAGAGAGCACTCGAGTGTTGTCGATGTGCGACAAAATTTCAGTCATGAAATTCTCAGTAGCAGTACGTAGTCAGGAAGATGGCGGTGTTTCACCACCATGACTCAGAAAGCACGTGAAGCAATTAATCCAGCGCTTGACGTGTGCCGTGTAGTCCGGATTGCCATCCCATCGGACCATGAAAGTGAGGGAATAGTGAGTGCACCTGTGCTTGCGTGCGCACGTGCACTATAAAGTTATCCTGCACAGATGGCTAGTCCTCGTTGAGACTGGCCACCGTGACCGAAATTTGGTCTGGCGAACAGTAACGTGTAACCTCATCGTCATCATCATCATCACTACAAGTCCGCTGCTGAACATAAATCATAAAAATAGACATCCTAAATCTCTTAACAAGTCGTCACTCCATCTAATTTGGAGCATAATATATAATTATAATTATTAATACCAATTGTATCGTTTTAGGACTATAGTTCAATCTTAGTATACCATAACATTGATAAACACATAGATATAGTATAAACTCATAAACATCGTAACGAGGAGCAATCTTGTTGGCTACGTATGTGGGGGAATATATTTCGCACCTGCTCTCGATTTGGTCGTTAAGACATAAAGAAGGCAAACGTGACGTTATCTTTCATTGTTTATTACGGTCATGAAACATCACGTAGACGCACTCACTTATTTTATTACCTTTTTTATAAACAACAATGAGATGTAAGACAAATGCCAAACTCATGGTGGCTTTTATATATTTCTTTCGTTATGAACATATTATTTGCTACGGTAGAATTCGGACTTTTCTTAATAGTTTGTAACTCTGTCTCTGCACAAATATATATGATAGTTACAAGTGCCTGAAGGGTTTGTGCCTTTAAATATACATATACATATATAGTGCCCTAATTTTAAATATACTTTGATTTGCTTCATTATATATAGCTTCCCCCCGGACCTCTGAGGAGATCAGACGTTTTTAGTAAGACCCGTTTATTGAGTCCATTTTTCAAATAAATACAATTATTGCATCAATAATCCAAATAGAAAAATAGGAGTGCATAAACGTTAGGAGAGCTACTTTATTCATTGACGTGCACAGACAGCCCAGTGACCAAACGCTACAAGTAGTCTAACAGAAATATATGTAACTATCTCTTTCATCGAGAGGCGTTACAAAACCACACCCAATCAACAGTGCGATTGCGTTTGTTTATTTGGCGCGTAACACCCAACAATCAACAGTGCAGCTTCGTTTGTGTGTAAGGTACGTGACACCTCATTATACGTTACTTTGTGAAACCGTCTTCCGGGTCTACACTAAGCAGTGCTGTTTGCCTAGTACTAAGAGAAACATTACAATATGCCGTTAAAACGAACGCCTCCGCTGAAACAACTAATCGCATCGGAAACCGACACTGAGAGCGTTGCTGGAAGCGTATCAGATGCTCAAAATACAGACACTTGCCATGCGAACACGGGACACCAGAAAAGAAAAAGAGAAAATGAACTTACATTCTTCATAAATGAAGTACGTGGTATGTTTAACAAAATATTTAACTACAAAGTTTGAAATCAACATTGGATGAAATCAAAATACAAAAAAATGAAATTCAAATAGCTATAGACACTCTATCCTCCAGACACGATGACATGCATATCGAGCTAGAGAACCTGAAAAAAGAGCGGAAAGAACAAGCATTATATGTAGCATCACTCGAAAATAAGATAGAGAATATAGAAAGACAGACATGTTCGACAAAAATAAAGATTCGTAATATACCCAAACTGCAAAATGAGACCAAACACGGATAATGCGATATACATGGGCTGCACTAAAAGTATCGGGAATGTAATATTTCCACTGTTCCTGTCATATTAAAATCTTTTTAATTGAAAACTCCTTGGTGTTAAAAATCGAATACCATTTATTTATTTAAAAAAAGATTCTCGGTCTTGTCACAAGGTTTTGTCAAACTTGTTTAGTCATTGAGGAAATGGAATTCACTCGAGAAAATTCAAGAGCGACGATTTATTATGACTTTCGAAGGTAACCAAGAAGACCACAAGCTGAGAGAGCCCGACGGAAACCGTACACGGTTACTAATCAACTGGTTCTCCTCAAGGTACCTCCTGAGCTGGCAGTTAATAAGGTACTCCATTATATGGGAGAACAAGGAAGTAATGGCGATAGGGCTGTAGTTGGAGGGATCAGAGCGGTTACCTTTTTTAGGGATCGGGTGCACGAATATCGTCTTCCATGAATTTGAGACAACGCCTAGGGAGTATACTACCGGAAAAGACACTGTACTGGCTTGCCTTCCTTACTTTTCTATCACATCCTTCCTTCCAATTATATGCAAAACAAAACTTATGGCGCCATCTGTTGGCCTACAACAAAAGCGTCTGCAAGAGAAGTCGACGCGATCGATACACACATGTAAGCAAGACTCAAGACGAACTGCATCGGTAATGGCTGTTCTTGTCTAAACCTTCCAAAATAAAATCAATGTAATTAAGAGTTAGTGAGTGTGCCGGGTCGACCCAGCTGTGTGCATAGACTATATAATCACGTAGGAGTGTGGTCAAGGAAGACTGAAGCCTTCCACATCCGAAGATATTGTTGAAGCCAAGTTGAAGTTGATCGCCGCTGCCGCTAACCGTGAGTTTTTACCTATTTCATTTACCCTTCCTGGTGGGCCAGACTAATTTTCTCTCACTGTAGGTAAATTAAGTAGCAATTCCAAATCAAATTCTTTTATTTTTATTTCAAGTAGAAGTGTCGCGATTACTACAAAAACGGAGTTCAATCAGCGCAATTTCTATTCTAACTGTTAACATAGTGGTCCGTACGAGCGCGAATTTCCTATGGTATTTTGGGTTCAATTCATTTGAAAACTCCAAAATTACAGTTCATAGCAATTCAGCTTAAAAAAAAAAAAACTTTTACAAGTAAAATTTGGTAAGGTACTTCTTTAATTGCCTTAATTTTAACGATATAGGTAATACGAAGTAATTTATTAAATTTATAATTAGGGAGAATTATTCTCTGTCGATTGCATAAATTACAATTACTCGTTATGTGCCGTTCGTTGTACTTAAACACGGAGGTAGTAGGTGAATAATTATACTCCACATATTCAATACTGATACGTTGTTTCAATAGGTGTAGTTATAATATATACCTATTAATAGCGTTATTATTGATTAGTTAAAAAGTTGGTTTGTTTTTAAATTTACGGTTTTATTGGTTATAATTTCAAACATAATGACAGATAAGGCAAAGTCGAACGCTAGTGAAATTGAGAGACAACTCAAGTTGCTTACTATTCAAAGGGAATATGCATTTCGAGAAATTCAAATACTATGTGATTTATCGAAGAATATCTAAACGGATACAACTTCTGCCTCTCAATTCGAGTCTAGGTTTAAGCGTATTGAGTTAGTGCGTAAAGAATTCTTGGAGTATACCAATCAAATAAACGATTTAAAGTTAAAATTAAAGCCGGACGATATTATTGATATGAAGCCCGTGATTGCGTTTGACGACATGTACTACACCGTCGATGCCGCCAGGGCTGCTCTAAGCGAGGGTCGCACTCGAGCCGATCCGCAATGCGACCCGGATCCGAGTTTGACTTCCGGATTTTCATACCATAGTACGAAACCATACGCGCAAGCACGCTTACCGAAACTCGAGCTGCCGAAATTTGATGGAAACATTGAACATTGGCAAACTTTCTTCGATACATTTTCCACACTTGTACATGAAAACAATAATATAAGGTCAATCGAAAAGTTTCATTATTTGTTGACGTGTCTCTCGGGTTCAGCGTTGTCAATCGCAAAAGGAGTGCCTGTTACCTCTGATAACTACCAAATTGTTTTTGATGCACTTATCGAGCGGTTCCAAAACAAACGAATTTTGGCCGCAACGTACTTAGATAAAATTTGTTGCTTCATTCCTTTGAAGTCCAGTAATTATGCCGATTTACGTAATTTAACCAATGTGTTGAATGAAACCGTTAATGCTCTTAGAGCTATGAAAATTAAAAAATTAGATGAGTTCATTTTATTTTATTTAGCTGCGCGTGTTTTAGATTCTGATACACGTAAACGTTTTGAAATGCAAAACGGGGAACAAATTCCTACCTTTTCTGATTTGTTAATTTTTTTACAAAGTTATGTTAAAGTTCTAGAGGTTAGTCAATCGGGCAATTGTTCCGGGTCTGGATTTCAATCGGGACAGTTGTATAAAAATAATGTACGTGCCACCGGGACACGAAATAGTCACAATAATAAACAATACCATAAATTTATATCGTTGCCGTCGAACACTGCCATAGCTTCAAATGCTTCAAATAAAACAGCTGATTGTCTATGTTGCGGGGCGGCACATGCGCTTTTCAAATGTCCGAAGTTTCAAGAACTTGATATTTCTGAAAGATACGGCTTAGTGTCTAATAAAAATGTTTGCATGAATTGCTTACGTTTAAATCATAATACAAAAAAATGTTTTTCAAAAATTACATGCTCAACTTGTGGTGAGCGTCATCATTCGTTGCTCCACGATAACACTACCATTGCTGCTGTTCCGTGTTGCTCCACTGACAAGACTAGCGACAAAACAGTAGTTACGGTTGACGACTTGACCTCGACTGCGAGCTCCGTGACTACCAGCGCTCACGTTGGTCATAGTCGTGCTCTCGTTTTGCTCGGCACATGTGTAGTGCGCGTGCGTGGTTGCGGTGCTGCCGCTCAGTATACTACCGCCCGCGCACTTATTGACAGTGGAGCTCAGGATAGTTTTATGACGTTATCACTCGCTCAACGTTTAGGGTTGCCCATTCGCCGCTGCAATTTAGCTGTGGCAGGTTTAGGACAAAATGTAGTGCATCAAATAAAGGGTGAAACTTCATGCGTGGTAATGCCAACGGATTCTGATAGTCCAAACTTCACTATTAATGCCATAATAATGAATACAATAACAAGTAAAATGCCTGTTGTAGAAGTACCTTCCGAGGTTCGTGAAAATTTTAAACATCTAGTTTTAGCAGACAAACAGTTCGACAAACCCACTAATATAGACATGCTGCTGGGCGCAGAGCTATTCCATAAAATTTATGATGGCCAACGCCTAGAGATAGGTCCTGGTTTACCAGTCGCTCTACATAGTGTCTTTGGGTGGGTGCTCACTGGCAAAATTGATCACAGCTGTCACCCTCCACCTATGGTTTCTTCCCTCGTTACTTCCACCCGGCTTTTGAATGACGTGGTCAAGCGTTTTTGGGAGGTCGAAGAACCACCGAAAACATTTATATCGAACCCCGAAGATGTTAAATGCGAAGAACTCTACTCTACTCTTGTGTCACGTAAACCTGACGGTCGTTACGTCGTTCCTTTGTTACTGAAGAAGCCTTGTGATGATCTGGGTAAATCTTTCGAGATGGCAAAATCACGCTTATTCAAACTCGAAAAGCGACTTGAGCGCAATGTAGAGTTAAAAAAGGACTATTCTGATTTTATGACTGAATATTCAGATCTGGGCCATATGCAACCCGCAGACGTTGGATCAGGCAAATTTGTAATACCGCATCATTGTGTACTCCGCCCTGAGAGTACTACGACAAAACTACGTGTCGTTTTTGATGCAAGTGCCAGAACGACGAACGGAAAATCTTTAAATGATATCGTGTACACTGGGCCTAAGCTTCAAAATGACATTGTTGATGTGCTGACAAAATTTCGTCTTCACGCAATAGTGTTCACATCCGATATTTCGAAAATGTATCGCAATATAGATTTACGTCAGGAAGATCGAGGGTGGCAACACGTGTTGTGGAGAAACTCTCCAGCTGATCCCGTGCGTGAGTTCGAATTAAATACCGTGACATACGGTGTGACTAGTTCACCATACTTAGCCATTCGTACTCTGCATCAATTAGCGGTCGATCATGCTTCTGAGTATCCTCAAGCGGCTCACGTTATACGTCATGATACTTTTATGGACGACATAACAACCGGAGCGCCATCTCTTAAACAGGCACTTGAGCTCAAAGATGAACTTATTAAACTACTGGGCTGTGCGCAATTTGAGCTGCGTAAATGGTGTAGTAATTCAGCCGAGTTTATTGCAGCTCTACCGTCTGAACATTGTCAAGTACCTAGGGCCTTTTGTGACGAAAATCACAACCATATCCTTAAAATTCTTGGTATACAGTGGGACCCTGTAGAAGACTTCTTTAAATATTCAGTGTCCGGGTTCAATTACAATTTAACAAAGCGTGCAATATTATCAAATATCGCTCGCATCTATGACCCAATTGGTTGGCTCACTCCTGTTGTTCTAATAGCTAAACTATTGCTTCAAGACATGTGGCGCCTTCAGCTAAGTTGGGACAAACCCGTTCCACCTGAGGTCGTTCACCAATGGCACAACTTTATCTCTGAAATGCAACATGTTAAACAGATTAAACTGACTCGTAGAGTTACACATGATGACGCCAAGAGTTACCAATTGATTGGGTTTTGTGATGGCTCTTCAAAGGCATATGGATGTTGTGTATACTTGAGGGCAGTTCGTGCCAACCATTTTAACACGCATCTGTTGATTGCAAAATCAAAAGTTGCACCCCTAAAACCACTAACGGTTAACCGTCTAGAGCTTTGCGGTGCTGTCCTTCTAGGGCGAGTTCTTAAACACATGCAAAATTTGCTGCGAGATAAAGTCCCTCTCAGTAAAGTGATTGCCTTTACTGATAGTAACACGGTTCTAGCATGGTTGCACACGGAACCTCATAAACTGAAGACTTTTGTTTCCCATCGCGTTGCGAAAATCATCGACGATGTATCAGTTGATAGCTGGCAACACGTATCAACATATGATAATCCTGCCGATCATTGCAGTCGAGGTCTTAGCGGTTCACAGCTAGCGACATGTTGTACGTGGTGGTCAGGTCCAAATTGGCTCGCTAACGATTCCTCCACTTGGCCAGTAAAGTGCAAGTGGGAATCACAAGATTCCGTACCCGAGTTTCGCTCTACTGCTCATGTATCTCAAACGGATACTAGCTCTGCTGAGTTGGACTTTATTAGTGGACTGTTAGACCGTTACTCCACGCTATCTCGCGTCCAGCGTGTGCTAGCTTGGTGTCTGCGTGCTGTAGCAGCATTCAAACGAAACTCTAAAACTAAGAATTTCCTGAGCGTATCAGAGCTGGAGCAGTCTATCGTCTATATGGTTCGACATGAACAAAAACTTCATCTTACAGATGAAGTCAAAGCCACCAAATCCGTTAAAAAACTGAGTCCATTTATTGATGATGCGGGATTGCTGCGAGTGGGGGGCCGTCTAAAGCACGCTAATCTACCGGCAACTGTAAAACATCCCGTATTGTTGCCAAAGGCTTCACGCTTATCCTTGTTGATCATAGATCACTTTCATGTCAATTACTTACACTGTGGTCCTCGTACTCTTCAATCGATTATTCAGCGTAGATATTGGATACTTGGCATCCGTAACTTAATTCGGTCGCGTTTATCTAAATGCATAGCATGTTTTAAGGTGAAACCGGTTGTTTATCAGCCTTTAATGGGAAATCTTCCTTCACCAAGAGTACAACCGACGCGGTGTTTCCAAAATGTGGGAATCGACTTTGCCGGTCCATTCATGGTGAAGGAAAGTCGTAGACGAAACGCTCGTACTTACAAGGCCTACGTGTGTGTATTCGTTTGCCTCGCGGTAAAGGCTATCCATCTTGAGGCAGTAACCGAGCTATCGACTTCTGCTTTTCTTGCAGCGTTAGATCGCTTCGTATCACGTCGTGGCCTTTGTACCTTCATAGTCACCGACTGCGGCACTAACTTTATTGGTGCCCGCCGTTACCTTAACGAACTACAGCAAATGATTTCTAAGAATAAGGATTCACTTGAGTCTAGTCTTGCGAAACGAAACATTAACTGGCGACTGAACCCTCCTACCGGGAGTAATTTTGGTGGCATATTTGAGAGCGGTGTAAAATCAATGAAGTTTCACTTAAAACGCGTTATAGGGTTACAAGTATTGACATTCGAGGAGCTCATAACAATTCTTACTAAAGTCGAAGCCATACTTAACTCGCGACCGTTGTGCTGTCTATCTCCGGATCCTAATGAGGTCGATATTCTTACACCCGGTCATTTTTTGGTCCATGGTTCTCTTATATCGTTACCAGAACCTGAACTTTCTAATGAATATGTTCCACCTCGGGCCCGCTGGCAGATGTTGCAAAAACTTACACAGTCTTTTTGGCATATTTGGCAACGCGATTATCTCCATACCTTGCAGCAACGCGCGAAATGGTTTCGAGAACAACCAAATATTCATGTCGGAGATATTGTACTAATTGTCGATAGCAATTTACCACCACTAGAGTGGCGTTCAGGTAGAGTTCAAGACGTGCATCCCGGCAAAGACGGTGTAGTGCGCGTGGTCACCCTACGCACTACTAATGGACTCCTTAAGAGACCAGTAAATAAACTGTGTCCTCTACCTTTAAATCAATAATATATAGCTATACTTATAAAAAAAATGGCAATTTTTTTTTCTCATAATTAATATTATAGTTTTTTGTTATTTAGCTTACAGGTATAGTTAGATATTAAATTTTGTTGCCTTACATACCTTTCTAATAGGTATGCAACTCAAATTCAAGTATTAATATTATAGTTAGGTAGATATTATTCTAAGTTAGTTTCTAGTTCGTGAAGTATTTAGTTTTATAGGGAGAACTGCTATTATTACTCATGAAATCTGAAACGATTTCAAGTGGGGGGAATTATGTACTGGCTTGCCTTCCTTACTTTTCTATCACATCCTTCCTTCCAATTATATGCAAAACAAAACTTATGGCGCCATCTGTTGGCCTACAACAAAAGCGTCTGCAAGAGAAGTCGACGCGATCGATACACACATGTAAGCAAGACTCAAGACGAACTGCATCGGTAATGGCTGTTCTTGTCTAAACCTTCCAAAATAAAATCAATGTAATTAAGAGTTAGTGAGTGTGCCGGGTCGACCCAGCTGTGTGCATAGACTATATAATCACGTAGGAGTGTGGTCAAGGAAGACTGAAGCCTTCCACATCCGAAGATATTGTTGAAGCCAAGTTGAAGTTGATCGCCGCTGCCGCTAACCGTGAGTTTTTACCTATTTCATTTACCCTTCCTGGTGGGCCAGACTAATTTTCTCTCACTGTAGGTAAATTAAGTAGCAATTCCAAATCAAATTCTTTTATTTTTATTTCAAGTAGAAGTGTCGCGATTACTACAAAAACGGAGTTCAATCAGCGCAATTTCTATTCTAACTGTTAACAGACACGTTAGAATCGGTTATAAATCTGGAGTACACGTCATCAGCACAATCGGTTGGAATCCGTTAGGCCTACTCGACTTGTGGATGTCCAGGGAGAGGAGTCCTTTGCGTACTGAGAACTGGGTGAATCGAACATAATGCATAGAGCACTCATACCACGGGATGGTCGGCGTTATGTTCCCCCGCAAAAGAGAAAGGCATTCTCTTTTGCGGCATGGGCCAGTGAGTCATCCTCCCCGTGCAGAGACGGTAGTGACGGCTTACAGAAATTTCTTTGGACAGCATTGGCGATAAACCAGAATGCACGTGTTCCCGAAGGAAGGTGACCTAATTTCTCGCCAATCCTGCCAATGTACTCATGCTTTGCCTTGGTTATTGCTAATTCTGTAAATGTGCTCATACTTTTCCTTGGTAGTTCCTTTGAAGGACCTAGAGGCGAAGTTATAATTCTTTTTAGGCATGCTGGCGTTTACATCCCGAGTCGCTGAAACGTCAGCTCAGGCCTGATTACACTCCTACCTACTACGTAATGCAGTCTTACATTAGCGATCAAAGCAAAGCTGAGATTTGCCTCTGATGGGTAGCACAGATGATGGAATAAATAGTTCCATTCCCTGTAGCAACACATTAGTGACAGAGTCTGCAACAGCCCTGGGATCATTCGACGAGAAGCAAAACCGCCCCATGGGTAGAATTGTTTTTTATAGGATAGGGTGACAAACGAGCACATATTCCACCTGATGGTAAGTGGTTGCTGTGGCCCATAGACATTTACATCTATTCTCATTTGCGAACCAAAATGCAGATGCGTTGCAACCCGTGAGGACCAAGATGGAATGCCTCTTTGCCAGTAAAAAGGGTCTCCGGTTCTCTAAACTCACCATACGAAACACAGCAGTGTTACGATAGTCTTGAAGGGTGATAACACCCTTCAAGACTAAAATAGTTAGAAGTAAAAGGGCCGTGACCAGTACGCGAAGGGTTGAGCGGTCCGCCACTACATGGAGTGAGGAACTGGTAAAAGATGCAGGAATTCGATAGTTGCTCAGAACCATATCTTGCAGCATTATTTGAGGGTGCCCGATGTTACGATGATGAATAATTTATTTCTATGTACGTCTTTAATCGTAAGAAAAGTAAAAATATAATAAGCGTCTTCACTTCACGATGTTTTAGTTAGATATCATGAAAAAAATTGTACCTATGCAGCGCTGAATAATGTATTTGTTACGGCTAAAGGCCGAAGAGCGGACACACCTAGGTTTAGCCGACTACGACTAGGTGGAGCCAAATACAGCTGGTTTAACTTAAGAGTATTCAATTTGTCCGAATGTTATATACCTAAATATTTGAAATGTCCGCGGCTTTGAGGTAGGCCAAGTGCTACACCAGCCGCATCCTAATTTAATGTCGCTATTATTACTTTAAATGTGCTTTCATGTTTTCAATTAATATAATAGAAGTCATAGTCATTTCAACTACAATTCGAACTTTATTATATTATCTAAATTAATCCGAAAGCAACCGGATAAAAAAACTAGTGATTAATTTGCCGTGTAGTGGCGGTCAAGAATATCCACTACCCCATATCCTCCCGTGGGTATCGTAAAAGGCGACAAAGGGAAATAGGCAGGAGATGGGCAGCAGCATATTCTTGATAACAACAAACTAACAATAAAAAAAATACTGCGGTTGCCAACCCTCTCGCCAAGCGTGGCAACTATGGCAAATACCCCTCTATGAATGACAGTAACAAAGAATCGGCCCCCAGTCCCCGGCGGCCCCGCTATTCCTGGCTACGGTGGAGACCATGGTAACGGCGGGGCAGGGGGTGCTAAGAATCTCCGGTGGAGGTTCGGTTGCCACCTTAGACGACTCGACCTTCGCAACGAACGGCAACGTACAACGCACGCACCCTGAGGATTGACGAGAAGATCGTGGAGCTGGAAGAAGAGATAGACAAGTTGCGCTGGCATATTATAGGATTATCCGAAGTCCGAAGAGAGGGGGAGGACACGGTAATCCTCGAATCCAGCAACTTGCTCTATCACCGGGAGGGCGACCATCTGTCCCAAGGAGGTGTCGGATTTATCGTCCACAAGTCTCTCGTTAACAACGTTGTAAAGATCGGGAGTGTGTCGACGAGGGTTGCGTACCTTATACTCAGAATCACCAAACGGTATTCGCTGAAGGTCATACAGGTTTACGCACCAACCTCGGCACACCCCGATGAGGAGGTGGAGGAAATGTATGAGGATATCTCTAGAGCCATGCATTCCTCCAAAACCCAATATACGGTGTTAATGGGAGACTTTAATGCAAAACTAGGCACAAGAGAGAACGGTGAGCTGAAAGTAGGGAAATTTGGAATAGGACAACGGAACCCAAGGGGCCAGCAGCTGGCCGACTTCATGGAGAAAGAGGGACTCTTTATGATGAACTCTTTCTTCCAGAAGCGGCCCCACAGGAAGTGGACCTGGTCGAGCCCCGACGGTTCGACAAAAAATGAGATTGACTTCATTATGACGACCAGACGACAACTGTTCAGTGATGTCTCCGTGATCGCGAGGGTGAAAACTGGTAGCGATCACCGAATGGTTAGAGGCACACTGAACCTAAACGTTAAGTTGGAGAGGTCTCGTCTAATGAAGTCAACGCTCCGTCCCCCTCGTGCTCTGTTCCAAAGTCCAGAAACCTTTCAGCTCGAGTTACAAAACCGTTTTCAGTGCCTAGAAGACTACAATGAAGTGGACGATATGAATGAAAAGCTCGTGGAAACTGTCCATGCGGTCGGAGCTAAGTTCTGCAAGACCCGCCGCAGAAGAACACAAAAACTCTCCGATCACACTCTTAATCTCATGGCTGTTAGACGGGAGATGAAGCTACATTCTTCAACAGACTTGACAGCATACAGGCATCTGAACAGACAGATCTCCAAATGCATGCGGCCGGACTTACGCAACTTCAATGCAGCTCGTATTGAAGAAGCGATCGAGCTGAACCAAGGCTCCAAAGTCTTTGCCAGAGATCTGTCTGCCAGAAAAAGCCAACTGTCAAAGCTGAAGACAGAATGTGGCAGCATCGTTTCCGGGACACCTGAGATTTTGAGTGAGATTGAGAGGTTCTATGGGCAGTTGTACACGTCATCGTTGGAGCCACACGCAAGTGTGAGTAACGATCCAAGAGCGAGTCTCATCCGACACTATTCCAAAGATATCCCGGACGTCAGTCTGAGCGAGATTAGAATGGCTCTCCAGCACCTTAAAAACGGTAAGGCCCCAGGCGAGGATGGAATTACAGCTGAGCTTCTGAAAGCGGGTGGAAAACCGGTACTTGAAGTCCTTCAGAAGCTCTTTAATTCCGTCCTCCATGGTGGAATTACACCGGAGGCGTGGAGCAGAAGTGCGGTGGTCTTGTTCTTCAAGAAAGGTGACAACGCTCTCTTGAAGAACTACAGACCGATTTCTCTTCTGAGCCGCATCTACGTGCGGTTTTCGAGAGTCATTACGAATCGTCTCGCGCGCAGACTTGACGACTTGCAGCCTCCCGAACAAGCCGGTTTCTGAAAGGGCTTTAGCACCATAGACCACATACATACCCTTCGGCAAATTGTACAGAAGTCCGAAGAGTACAATTTGCCACTAAGTCTGGTGTATGTGGACTATGAGAAAGCCTTTGATTCCGTCGAAATATGGGCGGTGCTGCAGTCCCTTCAGCGATGCCAAGTTGACTGTCGGTATATCGAAGTGTTGAAGTGCTTGTACAGTAGGGCTACGATGGCTATCCGAGTACAGAACCAGAGTACGAAACCTACCAATTGCAGAGAGGTGTAAGACAGGGTGACGTCATATCCCCGAAACTCTTCACCGCTGCATTGGAAGAGGTTTTCAAGTTTCTGGACTGGAAAGGATACGGTATCAACATCAATGGCGAGTACATCACTCACCTTCGATTTGCCGACGATATAGTCCTTATGGCAGAATCGCTGGAGGACCTAAGCACTATACTCAATGACCTCAATAGTGTTTCCCAACGGATAGGTCTTAAGATGAACATGGACAAAACTAAGATCATGTTTAATGTCCATATCACACCTATGCCGGTAGTTGTTGGGAACACTAAGCTCGAAGTTGTTGACGAGTATGTTTACCTGGGACAAATAGTCCGACTAGGTCAGTCCAACTTCGACCGAG